CTTATCTTGATGTTTTTGTTCTGATTAGTTTTTGGTATTTTGATTTTGGTTGCGTTTTGTGATTTGTAGCTTCTCAGTGGAATTAATACATGTATGTGGTTTGAATTTTATAATTTTATTTTTGAATTTCAATTTTTGTGAGCTGAACAAATTTGTTTATTTGGTTGCATGTTGCTTCTCCAGCTTTGCATTATCATCTGGTTATGTTGGTAAATTTTCGGTTGCAAATTGTTGATTTTGCTGCTGAATTTTTCAAGGAATGCAGTAATTTAAGCCGAGTCTATCTTTAATTCAACAATTCACCAATCAGTATGTATGTACGAATATATATACTAAGCAATTCTGGGTTGAGTGTGACCAAGTCTACCTTTAATCCATATATATATATATATACTTTGTACTTTTGAGTGTTTGAGTGCTTGAGTGTTTGAGTGTTTTTATATTCAAAGTGCTGCTTCTGCGAAGCTTCTGTTAAGCACTGCTGCCCTTCTACTTCTGTGTAAGTTTGCTAAATATTAATGATATCGTTTATATCGTTTTTTATTTCGTTATATTCTTATTCCTGGTTTTGGTTTTGTATGTTTGAATTTCTGATAATTTGAAATTGGTACTTAGGTGGTGAGGGTACATTTAAATGATATTCAAACAAGACACAACAAACTTCACACACAATAGACCTTGACAAAATACTCTTATGATTAGTCAACTGTCAGACATGAATTACCACAACCAAGAACATACACAGAGCATACCAAGATGTACCTGCAAGCTTAGTAAATTACTAGTGACAACCTAGGCACTTAGAAAGACCCGTCAATCTAGGCATCCCTTGTGCTAGCAACAACTATGATGAAAGTGTGTGAAGACATCATAATCAAGTAAACACCAAACAACAGAAAATGATGAATAGTCAACCGCAAGAACACAAACCTAGAAATACATGAACATCATGCGATGACTAGTCAACTGTTAAGAACACAAACCTAGAAGTACATGAACATCATGCGATGACTAGTCAACTGTCAAGAACACAAACCCAGAAAATTACTGAGATGCAAGCATAAATTGTTCGCCCAGAAACCCACAATTGGGAAAAACTATGGGTCATCAACCGACCTGGAAATCCACTAAGCAAAAAGATTTTTACAAAGGAACACTAGCAAGCTCAAGAAATCCTAAGTCTATTTAGGAATGTGAGCTATACCTCCTTTGTACAATCTTCTTCTCCAGCTTAGCAAAACCAGTAGCTTAGCCCTTCATGGTAGTGACAGCTCATTCTTCAATTCATTCATCCCATGACACCAGTTAGCTAGCTCCAACTCAGACAAAATAAAATTTGGATTCATGGAGAAAATGACCAATTTCTTCAAGAAACCATACTCTTGAAGAAATCAATCTTGAATCTGACATAGATATATATGAGAGAGTGTTTGATCTAGCAAGATGAAGTTTTTATATTTCAAATGCAGTTTTTGAAAATCAATTTGGAAAACTCAAAGATGAAAAATATGAAGGTTACTCTTGAGGAAGAAGAAGAGAAAGTTTGCAAAAAAAAACTTTTCCAAAACTTACACACAAAAGAGACAGTTGCCAGATGAGGAAATCTTTGGCTTTTACCCAAAAATTCTTAGGTAAGAATAGACACATGGCAGCTGAGAAAGGGACAAAAAAATCATTAAGACCCAGCTGGAAACAGTGAGCTGGAAATCCTAATTGAAACAAAGGTTGACTAGTCATACGAAGGAAAGATGACTAGTCATAATCTTCATAAATTTAGTGAATGCAATGTAGAGTTTAGCTTTGTCAAAACACATTGTTGTCCATTAGAATGTAGCTAGATAAGAACACATAGAGAAGCAATTCTTAATCTAAACTTAGAGCTTGGGAAATTACAATGATTGTCCTATTACAAAATTGTCAAGGGAAGCCAAAAGAAAATCACAAAATGCATACACTTACAATCTCCTCATTTTTGGCTTTCCTTGACAACACACTCTCTAAATATACTCAACCCATAACCAACCCATAGAGATGATGAATATAAGTACCTGCAAGAACAACCGATTTAGGGTTGGCAATGGATCGTGTCGTGTCGGGATAATAAACGTGTCAAGAATGCTCAACCCGAACCCAACCCATTTAATAAACGTGTCATGCTGGGTTCGGGTCGTCTTTTATCGTGCGGATTTCGAGTCGTGTAACGGGTTCATAAATAATAACATGCATGTTACGAAACTCATAACTGAAAAAATTTAAATTTAAAAAAAAAAACAGAGAGAGTAGATAAAATATAAGGACAAGAAAGAAAAAAAAGATAGAGAGAGGAAAGAAGAGAGAAGGAAAATAAAGGAAAAAAAATAGAGAGAGAGAGAGAGAGAGAGAGGAGAGAAGATTGAAGGAAAGAAAGAAAGAAAAAAGAGAGATGAGAGAAAACTAAAGAAAAGGAAAAGAAAAAAAGAAAGAAAAGGAGAGAAGAGGAAAGGAAAAGAGAGAAAAAAAGAGAGAGGAGAAAGAAGAAAGAAAGAAAAGAAAGAAAAAAAAAGATGAGAAGAGAGATGGAAAAGAAAGGAAAACACAAAAGAAAAAGAAACATTATAAATATTAAAAGGCATACCATAAAATCACAAAGTTGTATGTAGCATGGTGGATAAGACGCTTGAGAGAAATGAGGGTGGTAAGGGTTTGAAACCCCTTGTGTGTGTGTTGAAGTCTCCATTTCTCTTCATTTTTTTAGCGGGTTAGCGGGTTGTACACGGGTTGACACGACCCGTTTAATAGACGGGTTAGACAGGTATTATAACGGGTTGACCCGAAACCCATCCGTTTATTAAACGGGTCAGAATGGGTTGACCCAAAATTGACCTATTTTTTTATCGTGCGAGTTGAACCCGCTAATTTCTCGTGCGGGTTTCGAGTCGTGTATCGGGTCGTGTCCGAAATTGCCACCCCTAAACCAATCTCCCAGGCACAAAACAAGTATATTATACCATAGAAATTTGAAACAATATGCAATATGGTTGAGAGTGTTCTCCCCCTTGTTGATAAGGAAAGTACAAAAAGATAACAAGAGAGAATCATCACACAGTTTGATTAAACATAAAGGACATAGCATCGTTTGATTAAAGCAAAAGTCATTTGTTCAAAACAGTACAAAATAGCTCCCCTTATCAAACTACAAATGGTACAAAAGCATAACCCCTGATTTTACTACACCAAGTGCATTAGGCTAAAGGAAATATGAAATGTAGCACAAGGTGCAAAGAATGATAACCAAAGATGTGATTGCAGCTCCCTACAAAGAAACCACTTTCCTTGAAGATAGTGCCAATAATTTTCGCACAGTTAGTAAAGAAGATGTAGGTGCAGTCATTCAGCATAATAACTACACCAACTTGTTTTACAATCTTTAGGACAACAAGTTACCATGATTGAAACATCTGTTTCCTTGAAGGAACAGAAATTTGAACCAGGTCCCTCAGAAACCAAAAGGAATAAGGAAGCAAGTCAAGCATTCTTCAAACCACCTCCTGCCTTAGATAATAAAAACTTTAAGATGGGAATGACATTATCTGAAGATGAAAACTTTGTTGACGTCATGGCCAAAAAATTATCAAGATTAAATTTGTCAGATAAAGGAAAGGGTCCTCAAGTGTCGGTTCTCACTGAAAGGGAAATAGATAACTTTGAAACAATGTTTAAAGAAGAACAACCTGAAATTAATAGGTTAATAATTGAGAAGAGGTTTACTCAAACTACTACCTTAGACCCACACTAGTAGATTTACAGAGGAAGATGGAATGTGGAATTCCGCTTAGTATGACGAAAGCTCCATAGTTGAATGGAATATTGATGGTCTGACAGAATATCGAATCATTAATACAATGAAACATATGATGATATAAGCTATAGCCTCTAAGATAAAAGGAAATGGAGGTAGGATGGTGGCTGAGGCTATTATCGTAGGCTTTGTTAGTCAATTAAAGGGATGGTGGGATTTCCACCTAAGCGACTCGGCCAGGACTCAGATCTTAAACGCTCAAGTGGCCATTGGCCAACAGAGTGTATAGAATCCAGCAACTGGAGTCATTAAAAGTAAAAACGTTCACCAGAAAGATGCGGTAAATTCACTAATTTACACAATCACTCTACATTTTGTAGGAACTATACAATTGTAGCATGATAGGTCTAGAGAACTCCCAATGAATCTTAAATGTCCAACCTTGTCCCATTTTAGATGGTATAAGGATGTATTCTACTCTAAGATATTTACGAGACAAGACTGTAATGCTGATTTTTGGAAAGAGAAATTTCTTTCGGGATTACCAATTCTATTCGCTGAAAAGGTTAGGAATAGAAATAAAGACAAAAATGGTGGTGTCATTCCTTATGAGTCATATACTTATGGGGAATTATCCTCTAAAATCTGCGTAGAAGGATTAGCCCTTTGCACAGACATGAAATTGAAGAAACAGCTTGATAAGTAGAAGACCTTATGAAGAAAAGAATTAGGATACTTTTGTGAACAATTTGGTTTTGAACCAGTAAAATCATATTCACATAAACCACATAAAAAGGGAAAGAAATTTGAGTGTTTGAGTGCTTGAGTGTTTGAGTGTTTTTACATTCAAAGTGCTGCTTCTGCGAAGTTTTCGTTAAGCACTATTGCCCTTATGCTTATATATATATATATATATATGTGTGTGTGTGTGTGTGTGTACTAAGCAATTTTGGGAATGCTTTTATCTCTCTGAGTTCATTAAGGACTTGCTTAATTTAGTAGAAGAAATTTAAAAAATTTATATGTCGAATTGGAAATAGATGGTGGGATGGATAATCTGGGAATGTTGATTAACATAACATATTATCTTCATTTTGATCCTTATGAGGCAATTCCCTTGTTAATATCTGTAACTCTTTGATATTGGCAGGGAAAGTATGTCAAACAAACCACACTATTGTGATTCCCTTATTACTATCTTCATGCATGGACTGCCAAAAAGTCATTCTGAATTTTCATCATCGTTAACTGTTTCACTTGCAATGTCACTGGCTTCGAGAGTTTCTTCAAGGAATTCATTTTGGTACTCAGGTTCTTTTGGACTCTCCTTGATGATGTCTTCTGACCCAATTTCAAGATATACTTTGAATATATCAGAATTTCCTACTTCCGACAAGTGTATCTCTTCTGTTTGTGTGATAAGTGGAGTGTCTGGTTTACCAGAGGCCTCATTTGCCTTCTTCCCTACTTCAAGTCCAGCTTTTTCTTCATGATCATCTATTATAGATGTCTTTTGTAGCTTGTCCTCAGCACACTATTGTTGAGATGAAGTCATTCACTGTATTTTTATCATTGTTGAGTATTGATTTTGAGTGGTATGAAGTTGTACACTTTTATTGTACCTATTATACAAATGAAATGATATTGTTGTTAACTTCTAGTAAGTGATATGAACAGTTGTTATACTGTTCATACCCTGCAACTGAGTTGATTTCTATAACATAGTATTAACAGATTTTCAGTTACAAAGCATGCTTTATATTTTGCTTTATATATAGCAGTGCACTTGAAGTTTATGATATGTATAATGTGATTTTTACTATAACATAGCATTAACATTGTACTTTTTTTTTTCTTGTAAAGGTATTTCCTTTTGCCTTTGCGATTGTTTTTTGTGAAACTAGGTGGTTTCTGTAGAGGATATTGGATGTCTTTCTGGGCTTTTTTGGGTTTTTTGTGTGTATAAAATGGTATTAACAGTATACTTCTATGACATGGTATTAACAATGTACTTCTATGATATGGTATTAACAATGTACTTCGGGCTTGCTGGGCTTGTTTTTGGTTTTTTTTTTTTTTTTTTTTTTTTTTGGGGGGGTTTTTTTTTTTGTTGTGCTTGTTTTAAAGTTTATTAATGGCAGTTATGTAATTTATATGAACTTCAACACTCATTTCTTATGTAGTAAATTAATTTTGAGTGTGTTTCTAAATTGGGAATCAAAAGATTAGGGCTTTAGGGTTCGCTGCTTGTTAATTAACCACTTCAACACCTTCAACTCTCTCTCTCTCTCTCTCTCTCTCTCTCTCTCTCTCTCTCTGTTATTAATATAACCCTATGTTTTCTTTTTGGTTATTGACAAACTGAGAGAAAAAACAACCATGGCTTTTCTGTTGAAAGTTATACCAAGTCCATGTGAAGTTGAAAATTTAAGGGCTCGTTTGGTAACATTTTTGGATAATATTTTCTTAGAATATTTTCAGAGAATGAAAACAAGAAAATGAGTTTGCATTTTCAAGAAATAAAAATTCGTTTGGTAAATTAATTAGAAAACATATTCAGAAAACAAAAACAATGAAAATGTGTCTGGTGTTACAATTTGAAATAATAATATGTGAGTTATTTTTATGAAAGTGTTTCTCATGAGAATGAAAACAACCTTTTTTATGTTTTCTACAATGTACTTGTTTTCATTTTATGAAAACATTCTCAGTATTTTCTATTTTTGGTGCTACTGAACGTGTTTTTACCTCATTTTTGTCCTCTAAAAATGAAAACAACCCTTTAAAACATTACCAAATGGGACCTAATCGTTTTGAGAAAGCACCAGGATATGGTTCTTGTAGGCCACTTGACTTTTAATCTTTTAATTTGTCTAGGAGGTATGCTGTGGGTGGGCTCTTAAGTCTTTAGGCTACTTTATCTTCTTTTGTTGCACCACCTCTATATGAAGGTGTTGCGTGTTGTCGTTTGTTTTTCTAAAGACCCAAGCTTCCTCCTTTTGCACAACCTATATATTGGTCTTGTTTTCCTCGAAGTACGAAAGAATGTTGCAGATTAATAAAATCGTTCTCTTTGCTCCAGTTCAGGTTTTTCTTTTTTGGTTTCTTTATTGTGTGAGAATACTGAGTGTTGTAACTCATCTGCGTGAGTGTTCTGTTTGTTGGTTCTAGTCTTTGTTTAATTTTATTTTCTACATATGGTATCATAGCTTAGGCTCAAGAATATTTTTCTGAAATTAAGTATTAAGTTGGATGACTTTTTTTGTCTTTTTACACAATAATTAAATTTATAGCTTAATGATTTAAATATTAGAGTGAACAAAGAATATTGTGGGGTTTAAATAGAAAATCTCTTTTATTATTATTATTTTTAAGCTTGGGGTGTATTTAAAGGTAGTTTGGGAAGATAGTGGGGTTTTCTTAGGAATTATAAAAATTTAAATTAGAAGTTGGGATGAACTTCGAATATAGGGTGAACAAAGAAAAGTATAAAGTTTAAATAGAAAATCTCTAAAAATTTAAAATACAAATTTATAAATAAACTCAATCCTAGGTATGTATTTATAAAAAAACTCAAACACTATTTAAACATAGAAACACACCCAAAATCAATCCCAAAATCAACAATTGTATATTTTTTAGGTGTGTTTATAAATGAGTTTTGAGTGTGTGTAATGATGGATTTTGGGTGTGTTTATAAAGTGTTTTGGGTGTTGAGTTTTTTTTTTAATTTCAGCCTCCATTTTGGGTGTTTTAGTGAAACAGACCCTCTGAAAATGAAAGCGTTAACCCAAAAACTCCAACTTTGAAGAGCCTCAGTGACACTGTTAGAAGAGAGCAGGGAAAAGAGAGAAGAGGGAAAACAATGTCGGGCTTCCCATTCGGATCCTCCTCCTCCGCTTCTTCTCAGTTTACGCCTTTACCATCGACCAAACCTCCTGTCATTTCCCCCGCCACGTCAACCGGGTTCTCATGGTCCTCCGCCCCAGCTTTCGGGTCCTCTAGCCCTAGCTCCGCCGCGGCCCATTCTTTCGGATTCAGGTCCTCAGCAGCGTCCTCCGCTCCATCATCTTGGTTTTGCTCCTCGGATTCAACTGTATCGGCATCCAGTTCACCCCTGATTGGCTCCGCTTCCGCTTCTGCTTCATCTCTGTTTAGCTCATCTTCCTTCACACACAGCGCACCCTATTCCCTGTTTGGCTCATCTTCCACAGTTTCTTCAACACCCTTGTTCAGCTCTGCTTCATCGTCTTCAGCTTCAACCACACCCTCATTCCCAAGCTTCTTGAGTTCCTCTTCAGGCTTCTCGTTCCCAACAGCCTCACCTCTTTCAAAGCCACCAACAACCTCCACACCCACCACTGTTACTCCATCAGCAACGGCTTCAACCGCTCCAAGCTTCTCGTTCGCACCACCCACTTCCTCTGCTTCACAACTGTCTTTCGGATTCTCCAATGCCGCCTTATCAGCTGCCCCCATTTCTACCGCAAAGCCCACCTCGCAGTCCTTCTCAACTCCTTCTGCCCCGTTGTTTTCGACGGTCACCACCACAAGCGCTTCTTCGACTCCAGCTGCTAGCACTACAACCCAAGCCTCTTTCTCTATGCCGAGTTTCGGTGCGACTCCTCCTACTTCTGCAGTTTCGAGTACAGTTGCAACCGCTTCAATAGCGGCACCTGCCAGCTCAGCTGCGCCTTCCAGCAGAGCAGGTTTGTTTACAGGGTTTGGAATGTCCTCCGCAGCTGCCTCTTTAGGGACTACTACTGCTGCTGCTTCTTATACTGGCTTTTCCTCGCTGACTCAAGGGTCGACGCCTGCTTCCTCATCACAAGCGCAACCTAGCACCACTTTGTCTGCTTTTGGTATGCCTCTTACTACTTCTGCAGTTTCAAGTACTGTTGCAAAGGCTTCAATGGCAGCGCCTGCCAGCTCAGCTGCTCCGTCCGGCACATGGGGGTTTGGAGTGTCCTCCGCAGCTGCTTCTGTAGGGAATACTGCTGCTGCTGCTGCTGCTTCTTCTTATACTGGCTTTTCCTCGCTGACAAAAGGGTCTTCGCCTGCTTCCTCATCACAAGCGCAACCAAGCACCACTGTGCCTGCATTTGGTATATGGGTAGAATGCTGAATTGCAATGCCAGAATTCTGTTGTGTAGGAGTTTTAACTTTGGAGTCTACTTGTATAGAGCAATTTGAGTTCCTTGTGCTTGGTACCTGAATTGGTATTTGTTATCACTACACAAGGCACATGAAAATACCATTTCAAAATAACCCCATTTTTTGCTGAATATGTACATGTCTAGCTCGAGTATATTTTTAGTTTGTTAGAAAGGTTCTCATGAAGTGTGCAAATGTAATTCTGTAGGTGTTACTACTTCAGCACCTGTAGCTGCAATGACAACAACTCAGACATCAACGTCACTTGTTGAGGCTTCAACTAGTGGGTCTGTGTACTTTGCCTTAGTGATAACATTGCATTATGTTCTGTTTTTTCTTTAGGGTTAATCCTTTTCGGTATTTCATAGCTCTTCTTGTTATAAACAAGATTTCTTAGGAAGAAACAAACACGAGATTAAACTTGAAACATTAGATGGAATGCTGTTGTGTACTTTGTGGTGTACCTAAACTATCTAGTGACAACCGAAAATTGAAAAGAAAAATAAATAATCATATCCTTATAAAGATTTGGGACTTCTATCTGACGTCTGCTATAATGTCCTGCTTGTCTTATAGGACAAGTTCAACTGTCAGCACTACAATATCTACTGCACCAAAATTACCTTCTAAGACTCTGGAGGAGGTACTTCATTTTTTTTCCTCTTCTTTTTAACTACTGTTGTTTTCCAACCCATGCCTTGTGTTCTCATTAAAAAGAAATCTAGTCCTTGTGATGCATTTTATTTTTTACTTTAATTGAAGATCATTAAGGAGTGGAATGCTGAGCTCCAAGAACTTGTTTAAGTATACCGGTTGAGATATATGAACTTAAAGCCAGTTTTCATTCTGTATGTTGATACAGTAGTAACTTCATTTACGTGATATCTTCAGTGAGTAGTGCTTTTACTCGAAGTTGTGTATCATATCCATGTAAGTAACATGGGACAATCAGTTTGTGTTCCTTCTTTTGCTGTATTGAAAATGACTAGTTATATAAGCATGCACAGATTGATTTTTCCATTTCTTCAGTGACTAGTGTTGTCTTCTTATGTTGGCTGATTCTGAGTTGCTCTGACCATTCTTTCTCTGTTTTGTCAGGCTCCCCTTACGTCTTTCAAGCTTGCCGCTGAGGTCCAGACTTCTACTCCCATCTCTCCAGTACAACCCTCAAGTCTGGATTTCGATGCTCTAGATCTGGAAACTCAATTGGCATTAATATGTGGAGGCTCTTCTAGTTCTGGCCTTGCTCCCAGCGTCAAGGCTGAACAAGCCATTTGTAGGATCAAGCTCTGGCAAGCCAAGGATTTTGCTGTGGAAGAGGGCCATCAATCTGTGGGTGAACTCATCAATAATTTACAAATTTTGGCTGAAGAGAATCTCATCTCCAAGTCTATTTTCAGTTCTGGAGTCACTTCAGCTCAAGAGTTTCAACAAGCTGCAGACTTGTGGGGAACAATTCACACTTCCTTCGAGCAAGCTATCACCTCTAGAAATGTCTATCAAAGATCTGCTGAAAATTTAGAGAAAGATAGATCTCAATGCTTTGCTCAGGACTTCGAATTGCAGTATCTCAAAAATGAAGCTCTAGAGGTAGAAGCAGAGATTGCCAAATTGCAAACACAACTCAAGGCCATCAAGACTAAGGAAAAGGAAGTACGAATTAAATTGCAACGTAACCTTAGAGATACTTGGGAGTTGCAAAAACAAATCACCACTGCCCAACCTGGATTGGAGGAGTCTCACGCATTAATTCTGAGAGGATCAAAATTGAGAGCAGACATGGATGCCAAGTTTAGAGTTTTGAAAGTTATTTTAACCAGTATCGTAACTTTGATGATCGAATGAAATATTTCAATCTGTCCTCTTGTTACCAATCTGATTTAACCACAACTTGGTCTTTTGCATTGATAAGAGGAATCGTTTTATAATATATTTAACATATGGGCATTTTAGTCCTAAATCCTAATTGAGAATAAACTCACTTAAATCATTATTTCCAAACCAAACCAACTTCATAAAATGCCCACAAATATTGACACAACATAACATGATTTTTCAGAAATATAATAACAACAAAACATTAATTTTAAGGTTATTACGGGGGAATGAAACCTACAACTAGTCCCCGTTCGGTTCATGGAATGGATTTGAGGGGAAATCACTTCCCATGTCATTTCCCAAGAAATGAGAATGAAAGATTCCTTTCCCACGTTTGGTAATGTCGGGAAAGTAACCGGGAGATTTCACTTTTTTTCATTTCCCATGTTTGTTTTGAGTAGGAATGGAAAACAAAGTTTGTACAATTTTCCAATTATACCCATATTAAATCAAATAAAAAAAGAATGCATTTAATGATATGTTGTAATTATAAATTGTTCATAGGGACAAAATAGTCATGAAAATTGTGCATTGAATGTTAGCTCATTTTCACAAACTTTCCTAGGAGGAGAGAAAACAAAATCCAAGTTGAGAAGAGGGCTTCACTTTCTCCCCTACTTTCTCATGTGCCAAGCAATCATTTCCCATGCCTAGACTTACCAAACATGTGAAAGCAATTGAATTCTCATTCCCAAGCCTCATTTCCCATGAATCAAACGGGGCCTGGATGTGAAGGTAAATGTTCTTAACCATTTGAGCTACAAACTTGCAAGACTAAGTATAATCTTTGACCAACCTTGCAAGACTAGTATAATCTTTGATCTAAAAGAGAAGGAACTAGTATAATCTTTTACCGAAAAGAGAGAGCGCGTATCAAGAGACTAGTATCATCTTTGAAAATAAACAAATTTAAATGCTGTTGGGTGTCCAAACAAATTCTATTTTTCTAAAATTGGGTCATGGTATTGGGTGTTCAGAAATAATTTCTGGGTGTTCATTATAAGGTCCAGCCCATGAACTCTTTTGAAGCCATTGACAAGCACCTGCACACTGCACACTTCGGAAACAATTAAAAATAAATTTTAAAAAAAATTTAAAATAAAAAGACGCTCTCTGAAAATGAAAGCGTTAACCCAAAAACCCCAAATTTGAAAAACCTCAGTGACACTGTTACAAAGAGAGCAGGGAAAAGAGAGAAGAGGGAAAACAATGTCGGGCTTCCCATTCGGATCCTCCTCCGCCGCTTCTTCTCAGTCCACTACGCCTTTCTCATTCACCAACCCTCCTGCCTCTTCCCCCGCCACCTCAACCGGGTTCTTACTCGGGTCCTCCCCTTCCCCATTCGGATCCACTGCCGCACACGCCGCCACCTCCACCTCCGGGTTCTCATTTGGAACCTCCTTCAGTGCCTCCACTTCCTCAAACCCTTCCTCCTCCTCATCTCCCTTCCCCTTCTCCATTAACACCACCGCCTCCCCCTCCGCTCCCGCCTCCGCCCCCGGTTTTGGGTCCTCTAACCCTAGCTCCGGCCCGGCCCCTTCTTTCGGATTCGGATCCGGAGCCTCCACCGCCACCGCAGCCTCCTCTGCTGCCGCCCCTTCTTTTGGATTCGGGTCCTCAGCAGCAACCTCGGCTCCATCATCCATGTTTGGCTCCTCGGCTTCAACTCCGCTGTTTGGTTCATCTCCATCCCAACCCCTGTTTGGCTCATCCGCATCGGCGCCCGCTTCCGCTTCCGCTTCTACTTTATTCGGAGCACCGTCGTCCACCTCTTCGTCCTTGTTCGGGGCAACTGTATCGGCAGCCAGTTCACCCCTGATTGGCTCCGCTTCCGCTTCTACTTTATTCGGAGCACCGTCGTCCACCTCTTCGTCCTTGTTCGGGGCAACTGTATCGGCAGCCAGTTCACCCCTGATTGGCTCCGCTTCCGCTTCTGCTTCATCTCTGTTTAGCTCATCTTCCTTCACACACAGCGCGCCCTCTTCCCTGTTTGGCTCATCTTCCACAGTTTCTTCAACACCCTCGTTCAGCTCTGCTTCGTCGTCTTCAGCGTCAACCACACCCTCATTCCCAAGCTTCTCGAGTTCCTCTTCAGGCTTCTCGTTCCCAACCGCCTCACCTCTTTCAAAGCCACCAACAACCTCCACACCCACCACTGTTACTCCATCAGCAACGGCTTCAACCGCTCCAAGCTTCTCGTTCGCACCACCCACTTCCTCTGCTTCACAACTGTCTTTCGGATTCTCCAATGCCTCCTTATCAGCTGCCCCCATTTCTACCGCAAAGCCTACCTTGCAGTCCTTCTCAACTCCTTCTGCCCCGTTGTTTTCGACAGTCACCACCACAAGCGCTTCTTCGACTTCAGCTGCTAGCACTACATCCCAAGCCTCTTTCTCTATGCCAAGTTTCGGTGCGACTCCTACTACTTCTGCAGTTTCGAGTACAGTTGCAACGGCTTCAATAGCGGCGCCTGCCAGCTCAGCTGCGCCTTCCAGCACAGCAGGTTTGTTTACAGGGTTTGGAGTGTCCTCCGCAGCTGCTTCTTTAGGGACTACTACTGCTGCTGCTTCTTATACTGGCTTTTCCTCGCTGACAAAAGGGTCGACGCCTGCTTCCTCATCACAAGCGCAACCAAGCACGACTTTGCCTGCATTTGGTGAGTACTTCAACCCTCTTTGGCTATTTTGAATATTTTATGAAATTTTCTTGGGTTAATTGTCTCTAAATTGGTTAAATTCCCATTTAGAATAGGTGTATGGGTAGAATGCTGAATTGCATTGCGAGATTATGTTGTGTAGGACTTTTAACTTTGTGAGGCTACTTGTTTAGAGAAATTTGAGTACCTTGTGCTTGGTGCCTGAATTGGTATTTGTTATCACTGCACAAGGCACATGAAAATACCATGTTTTTCTGAATATTTACATGTCTAGCTCAAGTATATTTTTGGTTTGCTAGAAAGGTTCTGATGAAGTGTGATTGTGCAAATGTAATTCTGTAGGTGCCACTACTTCAGCACTTGTAGCTGCAACGACAACCAGTACAAGTACCACTGCAATTCAGACATCAACATCACTTATTGTGGCTTCCACTAGTGGGTCTGTGTACTTTGCCTTAGTGATAACTTTGCGTTGTGTTCTTTTTTGCTTTAGGCTTAATCCATTTCGGTATTTCATATGTTCTTCTTGTTATGAACAAGTCTTCTTATGGAAGAGCAGATTAAACTTGATAGATTAGATGGAGTGTTGTTGAGTAATTTTGTGGTTTACTTAAAGTATCTAGTGAAAACTGAAAATTGAAAAGAAAAAAAAAATGTAGTACAAATTATCATGTTGTTGTAAAGATTTGGGACTTCTATCTGACTTCTGCTCTTCTGTCCTTCTTGTCTTATAGGACAACTTCAACTGTCAGCACTACAGTATCTACTGCACCAAAATTACCGTCTGAGATCACAGGGAAGACTGTGGAGGAGGTACTTCATATATTTGCCTCTTTGTTTTTAGTAATGTTGTTTTCCTATGCAGCTTTATGAGCGAAGTGCCGCTTAAATCCAACTTTCATATGCTAGGCTTTATGAACAAAATATTTTGAAAATTCAACTAGCGAGCATTAAATGTGGTGAAGGCAAAATATATTCTGTCACACACACATAATATTATACTATAAATTCAGTCTTGCACAACTTAAAGAATGGTTTATGTTTTCGTTGAAAGGCTAGTCCAGGAATTGAAAAGAATAAAAGGAAACTAAGAATGAAAATCCGTGTTTATCCAAATAACATTTGAACCCCCTCAGAGATAGGCCATTGAATTTACGATACCCTCTACAACTATGTGGAGTACTCACTTCAATTTTTTTTCATCTTTTGTTTGCTACTACTTTCATTTTTAAGGTCCACTTATATATTCTTGTCAAAAGAATGAAAGGTGACACATCTCTTTAAGGAAATACCTGTCAATACCAGTTTCTCTACCCCACTCCCTCTAATGTTATCAATGCAACTCCATTTTATTACCGATGATAAATTCTTTCTGTATTATGACCTATCTAATCTATTCCTTGTTTTCTCATTAAAATTAAAAAAAATTATATTCCTTGTGATTCATTTTCTTTTTTTACTTTAATTGAAGATCATCAAGGAGTGGAATGCTGAGCTCCAAGAACGTACTGGAAAATTCCGAAAGCAGGCCAATGCAATAGCAGACTGGGACAAGAGAATTTTGCAGAACCGTGATGTTCTTCTTAGACTCGAGGTGATCTATTTCCCAATATATCAGAGAACTCGTCTAAGTATACTGGTTGAGATATATGAAGTTAAAGCCAGTTTTCAATTCTGTATGTTGATACCGTAGTAAACTTCATTTAGTTGATGTCTTCAGTGAGTAGTGCTTTTACTCATAGCAATATATCATATCCATGTAAGTAATATGGGACAATCAGTTTGTGTTCCTTATTTTGCTGTATTGAAGATAAAAAGACTACTTATATAAGCATGCACAGATTGATTTTTCCATTTCTTCTTTCTTCTACTATGCCTATCTGTTTTCCTTCATCTGCCGGTTTTTCTTTATTTATTTACACTGTTCTTATGGAATTGTTTAGAATTTGTTTTGATTAATAATAATGTTTAACTTCCATATGTTTTAATTATTTAGATTGAAGTGGCGAAAGTGGTTGAAACCCAAGCTAACTTGGAGCGGCAGCTAGAGTTAATTGAGACTCATCAGCAAGAGGTACTTTCATAAGTCTTTTGTATTTTTACCATACACTGCTATAATTTGTATTGCTGGGCACTAATTTTGGGATAGCCCTCATTATGCCCGTCTTTGTATATAGTCTATACTGATGCATCTCAATTGTTGTTTCCTTGATTTATGAAGCTACTCTTTTATTTGTAAGATGAGGTCTGCGATTGATCCCCTTAGATTTGCATGTCGTGGGCACACAAATAAAATCACACATTGTGATTATCTTTGTGGAGGCCATTATAATTATTAAAATCTTCTCTTTTAACTTTTGTGTATGTTTCAAGCCGTAAAGCTGATACATAGAAGCTTACTTTTGTTAGTTCAGTTAGTAGCCTTCCAGAAATTTGTAAGCACAAGAACATACAGAGCTGCCTATAGACCACAGAAATTGCAAATATATGCATGATAAGGTTCCTTCTTCTGGTTATATTGTTAGGTTGATAAGGCTTTGCAAAGCATGGAAGAAGAAGCTGAGCGTATATACAAGGACGAGCGTGGATTGGTTCTTGATGATGAAGCTGCATCAACAAGAGATGCTATGTGAGTTATTGTACTATTGCTATTGTTTTAATTTATGTGATGGAAATATTTTTGGCAGCTCTATGTTTCTGGACCAATTTCATATGTTTTTTCTTTTCCCTATTCCAATAGTACATTTTTCACATTAAGAAATCTGAACATTTTGGTGTCACCATTCCTGAAATCAAATTGTGAAGTGTGTTCATACTCAATTGAGTTTGGTGACTTGACGTGGAGTATAGGGAGCATGAACTAGCCAATTATTGTTGGTTTATGGGATTAGTCTGTTGATTGTCAGGCTATATTTTGTGGAAATTGGCATAAAGGTTCCTCTTTTCTCACTATTCTGATTTCAATTGCAGGTATGAGCAAGCTGAGTTTATAGAGAGAGAACTGGAGCAGGTGACAGAACAGATCAAATCAATTATTCAGACCCTAAATGCCAACCAGGTAAAGGTTTTCAGTGGTGTTTCTACTTCTTAATAAGCTTTTCCAACATATGTAGACGAGTATAACGATGCTTTCATTTTGTCTAGGGAGGAGAACTTGATACAAATGATGGGATGGCTCCATTAGATGTGGTTGTACGAATCTTAAACAATCAGCTCAGTTCTTTAATGTGGATTGATGAAAAGGTTAGTATCTTTGTTGCATAGTTTTTTGAGTTATTATAATTAGCTTTAAAAGGGATGCACTTAGTTGGTTTTATTAGTAAATAGGAGGTGTAAAATACAAGGACTTGCTGATCTGGTGTTTGTTTTGGGCACCCATGTGCTGGTAGTTATGGAAGAGTTGCAAGTCTGGAGAATCATAAAATCTCAAACTCGCTGTTTCCTTTAAGTTAGAAAAGTTGGGGAGGGGGAAAGTGCACTTGTTCTTATTAAAGAATCTCAGTTTATTCTTTAGTTTTTTGGTATTTTGTTATTTTGTTTTCGTACATACCAACATTTGTAATATCGAAATGTGTGCAGAGAAGTGTTCTTCAAATACACGTGTTACTATTCTATCTATATTTTCAGATGCACGTTGATTTTAATTGGAACACTGATCTTCCTCCATTTCATCAGGCTGAAGAGTTCTCGTCGCGAATTCAGAAGCTTGCCAATCAAGGTCCTGCTGCAGATCGTGAATTAATGAGTCCAAAATACTGGATGTCCTGATCTTTAGAAGTGTAAACTACCTTTATTTTCCTCCAAGATCAGGTTCTAACTGTTTGAGATTGATGTATGCCAAATATTCATTGTAATCACCATTGCTCGTGCATAAATGTTCTTCCTGGATAAGATGATTATATCAGATATTCAAATCTCTATAAACAGTTTGTGAATGTTTACTTGACCTCCATAATGATTTTGCTCTTTTGTGTAATTGACTGTTTTAAGAATCCCATCTTTCTTACCGAAAGAGGTTTTGCAGATTATTCCGAATGTGGTTTCGTGGATTATTTTTCTACCTTGATATAGTAGTCTAGTAGTCCCCAGTGACAGTGGCAAAAGATGATTTAAAACTTTTATTTAATAAAACAATATTTGTACATAAATGGGACTTATGATGGCCAAGGTGCTTATCTTTGTACAACCATTTTCCGAAGCTGATCTGGTGATCAGGCCTTGTGGAATCGAGTAACAACCACAATTAAGAGAATCACAACAGAGAGAAGCAATGAAGACCTAACTTTTGCTTCGAACTGATCATCGTCGTCTGCCGTAGGGTTTTCACTCTGAGGAGTTTCTGGAGGTAGAAACATCTCATTCACGAGTGATTGAAATGTCTCAATAAGTTGCATAATTTTTGCTTTTGTAACATCCATAATCCACCTCATAATTCGTGTAGATAATTCTGGTTCTTCGTTTTCACTCTGAGGCAGCCCTTCATTTTGAGCCACAAAGATAGAGATCAGTGTAATGAAAATAAATTTAGTAGCAGCCAATGTTTATTGCCATGGAAGAATAAAAGCAAAGTGGTTTCCTAGTTATACTTTTCTGTTTATCAAAAACACTACTTTAAGACCAGTTAATGTAGAAAGACAACTGATAACAGAAAAAATAAAACAAATATGCATCAATGAAATAGGTGTTGCCCGGTTTGTGCATCAGAAATCTATTTAAGATACCCCCAAAAAAATATTTCCAAGTAAATTAAGTATGAGATAAGTGGAAATGCATACCAGGGAAGATAGGCTCTTGGAGCTTCTTGACCAACTCATTGTTGGTAACAGCTTCCCATAGGGCTTTATCAGATGAAAGGGAGACCACCAGTCTCTGCATTCGAGTTAGATTACTCAAGTAAACATTTTGGGAGAAAAAACAGCACAACGTAAAAGACGAGCAAGGGACTTGTAACTCAAGTGGTTAAGAGAAGACACCTTAACACAAGGATCCGTCTGCAACAATTGGAAAGCCTCATAAACTCTTCTTTGTCCATAGGAGAGCAACTTTCTTGTAACACAGCAATCCAATATTTGCTGAAGCCATTGAAACTCTGGCTGAGATGAAGTTATCCCTTGCATAAAACTGGTCAAGATGGAAATATGATATCAGAAACATTCAAAGTCTCAATCAACAAGAAGTTAATCAAATCACTTAATCAAATAAAATAATTTATTAATGTTTAAGTTAAGCTTGTGTAAGCAATCATTAATGAACACAGTTTTTCCCTCCCTTCATTTCATCAAGTCAGCTAAAAGAAATTTGCATGGGAAATTTGATCAGTTTTCCAAAAACATAAAACTAAATTAAGGTGAGAGGAAATATAATCATCAAGTAAAATAAGGAAAAGACATCCCAAGGAAATATAAACATAAAAATAAAACTAAAGATTTAGATTATATGAAAATAAGTAAAATCTTGACTACTTTTCATGGGATTGATTGAACATCTCCTCCGTGGACAAAATTTGAGTTCCATAACAGAGTAGATAACATACCCCCATCAAAAGAATCATACCCCAAAAATTTACAAATTTTGTAAAGTTAATAATACTTACTTGAGTTCGAATCCCCCTCCCGGTAATTTAGATTAGATTAGATTAAAGTAAAATATCGTTTGTATAAAGAAAATAAAAATAAAAATACTTACTTGAGAAGAGCAGTTATTGCCTTTTGGACTTCAAATTGGGAAGGAACAGGCCCAAAAACAGAGCTCAGATTAGACCCACTTGCTCTTTTGTCTTCTTTTCCATATGCAAGCTCTAGTTTTCTGCAACTCTTACTTCCACAGAAACAGTATGTAGCAGAACAAGAGGGTTTAACAGTGGCAACATAACTGGATGAAACTGGAAGCTTGGAAGAAGAAGAAGAAGAATGTTTGATGTGGATGGTGGGCAGGTCAATAAGCATGGTTCCTCCTCCCATGGCTGTTCTTTCTTTCTTCAATCTGCTGAGGCTCGTCTGAGTTGAAGTGCAAAAAAAAAAAGAACTGGCGTTTTTCTCTTGTTAATGTTGTTTGTTGGTTTTCATATCCACACGTCAAGGATTCAACACCTGATGTTTAGCCAATCTGTTGTAAACTATTCTGAGAAATCTCATCCTTTCCCAGAGGCCCATGTTGATATATTTTGGGCCGTTGCTTCCTTTCATATATGTTTTTTTTCTTTTCTTTGGGGTTCAGAACGGTAAGATGGATACATAGAAGATTTTCAATCATTTTAAAGAGCCAATAGTAAGGGCTTGTAGCTTAAATGGTTAAGAATATATATTTATGCATTCCACGTCCTAGACTCGATTCCCTCCTCTTTAATATCGCTCGTATAGAAAGAAAAATAAAACAAAAAAGCTCCAGTAAACTAACATTGTGATAAACCATAAATAAAACCTTAACTTGCCATAAATAGATATCCAAAATTGAACTTTATTGTGGTTCTAAGATTAGTAACTTAGTGCGGATGAAATAGTTATCACGCACTCGTTCAAGTATAAATACTTAAGAGGACCCTCTTTGTCACCCAAAGACGGTTTAATCTCAACAATACCCTTCAAATATTAGACAAGTTCAATACCAAACTTAGAATTTGAAGATAATGTAGTAATTACACTCCATTTTCACACCTCATTTTGGACAAATATGAACAAACTTTTTTTGAACTCTTCCACTTCAAAAGAAATTTGTGAGTTGTTACAAAACATAGATAGGTTCTCTGGTTGGCTCAATCCGCCTCTATCGAGAAAAACTCTCATGTAATGGGAATAACACCTTTTACTATTCAGGTCAATAACACAATGACATATGTGATAACTTTTTCGCGTGTCATCATGTTATTGACCGAGATAGCAAAACAATTATATTCTCGTTACAAGTAAGTTTTTTTCGTCTCGATGACACTACTTAAAAAGCCAAAAAACAATAATTTAAAAAGATCTATGGTGGAAATACGACGTCGTTGTTATATACTTAATTTGTTCCATTAATGCAAAATTGATGTACATTTCCAATTGCTGCTGCTATTAAGACATGACGTTTGAGAGTGAATGAAGAGCCGAAGAGGACGCGTTGCGTTGAGAAAGAAAGCAACAAAGAACAGCCTCATAGATTTGTACACCATTCTCTCAGAAACTCCTCCACATCTGGAGTAGCTTTCCCATTTTTTTCTTTTTTTGTGTTTCTTTAATTCCAAGGTACATTTTCCTCACTGATTTCCATTTTTTATCCATGTTATATATAAGAGTTATACATACATGTATATCAAATATGAAGGAAATGTATAATGTGGGTTTGGGTTGGACCAGATGGCTGATGGAAATCCCCAATCGAGGTACGTGAAGCTGACGAGGGAACAAGAAGCGCCAACGGAAGATATCAACCCTGGAGAGCTCAACCAACCGATTCAAATTCATCAGGTCCTTCTTTCACTTCCTGGGCTTCGAATTTTTTTGCAGAAAATCGCAAATTTGGGTTCATATCTGAGAAAAATGATAATGTTGGATGTTGGTTTTCTGTTGTTTTTGTGTTTTCATGAGGATTTCTTCTATCTTGTTGCAAATTAGCTTCTGGGTTTGCTTATAATTGATATTCTTAGAAACCTCTCCTCTGTTTTTAAATTATAAGTGCAATGCTAATGCTATTTCTGACATTGAGGTGACATGTTTTAGTGTGCATTTATCTATGTGATGTACCTCAATCTAATGTTGAAATATTGTCCTTGTGTTTTTTTTTTGTTGGTGTTGATGATTATGTTTAGTATTGGACAGTTAAGTGTTGATAAATGTGCGGAATGTGGGCAACCCCTGCCTGAAAGATACCAACCCCCAGCTGATGAAGATTGGACAACTGGGATATTTGGCTGTGCTGAAGATCCTGAGAGTTGTAAGCGTTCATCTGGTGTATCACTTTTCGTTGTCTTTTTTCTCTGGATGGGAGGCGGTTTGAAAGCCTAATTTTCTACTTTTGTTGATTAATCAGGCGAAGAAAAACAGGGTTAAATGTGTCCCACTTATGATGATTAATAAGGCAAAGAAAAACAATGTTGAAATGTGACCTAATGATTTGGAAGTCAGACCTTTAGATTGTCCAAGTTAAGCAAAATTGCTTTTATATGCAACCAGTTCTCACCTCAGCAGGTCAGAAGGCTTTGTGTATCCAAAGAGGAATAGCATTTTGGAAATTTATGTTACTCTCCTAGTTTTTACATATTGTGTTCCTTGCTGAGACCATAATGTGCCTAGATTTGTTTGGATTTTCTGAAGAAAAAGAGTGAAGATTTTTAGATTTTAGAGTATTAGTTGAGTGAGATAAAATAGATGTCACTACCCTGATGGAATATATTTTATCACATTTTCCTGATCATTCATAATTCCTTGAATTTATTGTGTTTATGTTGCAGGCTGGACTGGACTTTTCTGTCCATGTGTGCTGTTTGGGCGTAATGTTGAAACAATACGAGAAGATATTCCCTGGAACAATGCCTGTGTTTGCCATGCCATGTGTGTTGAAGGAGGAATTGCAGTTGCAGCAGCAACAGGATTCTTTCATGGTCTTGATCCTAAGACTTCAGTTCTCATCTGTGAGACATTGCTATTTGCCTGGTGGATGTGTGCAATCTACACAGGACTGTTTAGGCAGTCATTGCAAAAGAAGTATCATCTCAGGGTGAATTTCAGTTCTTACATTTCTTGAACTTGGAATTACATGCAAAATAAATCAGATCATCTGGAAGAATAGAATGTGAATAAATTTTCTGAAATGTAAAAGGCCTGTGTACTTTAGATAATTTTATGTTTTCTCCTATTTATTTTGTTAAATTTTTTCCCCATGATTTTGCATTGTACACAAATGGCTTTTGGTGATAGGCCCTACTTTTAATAAGGTGAAGTTTTTCTTGTCTCACATATAATATATAGCTTCTGAT